CTGTTCATAAATGTTGGACTGTCCCATTGTACAGGGAAAATTGTATTCTAGTTCTTGGGGTGACATCCTAGCTCCTTTGAAGTCCGTAACAAAGTTTCCATTGTGCTGACTCAAAGATGCACACGAGGGAAATGTGTTTCACTAGGCTGGTCACCATGTTCTGGAAATAGGGTGACATTTATGGAGTATGGTTAAACCCCTGTGTTGGGGAGTTTAGACAACTAGAGTGAGATTGAAAATACTTGTAACTGAAACCCAACAATTTATAAGCATCATAGGTTTTTAGGGCCAGAAGGGACTATTAGATGCTCTGTATAACACAGGCCCAGTTAATCCAAAAAGCTTGTTGGGTTTTGTTTTGTTTTTACTAAAGTGAGTCTTCCAGGCAAGTATCCAGTCTTGACCTGAAGATTGAATAGATGGCCACCCCACCACTTAGCTCAGTCATTTGTTGCAGCAGTTTACCACCTTCATTGTTTAAATCTGGCCAGCTGGAGAGCTCATTACTATGTTGTATTTCCTATTCCTGCAGGTACGTCAAGGCACCCCTCAGCCTTATTTTTGATCATCTAAACACATCTAACTCTTTAAGCCTCTCTCTGCACTAGATAAGTAAGGCAAATACACGGGCAGATATGGACTCCTTGCTGGTTATCAGTGGCAAACTTTGCCAGTCTTCAGTGCACACAATCCAATTATGTCAGAGTCCTTCTGTGGCACTTCTCTCTGTGTGAGGTTCCCTAGGGATCTACATCTTTGTTTTCTTACATTGTTTCCTTTGGGTGCCTGGAGAACAGGTCATTCCTCAGAGCTTAGAGCCATTGCAATGCCAACAGTGTAATTAGCTCCATGAATGGGTTGCTCGTTATGTATGTAATAAACTTCTTTCACTTTCTGCTTGGGGTTTCCCTGTGGTAATCGGTTTTCTCCATCTGCGCTCATTCACCGACTTCTGCATAAGGGATATTTTTTCAACTGGGCCTGGGATTATAACCTTACCTGATCCTTACCGATGCATATTGCTGAGCTCATGCAGATGGACACACTTAACTAAAACACTGTCGTCCAAACATGGTAATGGTAATGTAATGGCATTATTTTTATAAATCCCAAGATGGGGTTGCTCTATGGACATCTCAGGGCATTTTCAACTCCACGCTAGAGCTTTGCCCTTCTTCTTCATTTTAAATATTCCTTTTTCTAAACTTTCAGGGGGAAGGAGGAGGTTGGCCATTTTTGGTCTGAAGGGAAAGACTGTGTTAAACACACATGCACACATATATGTGGGTTATAGCTTCTCCAGGGAAGCATTTCATATTTACCATTATTTGCTCTTTTAGAGCTCTTCCCAAAAGTAGATTGGCCAAAATGATCAAGCCCTTGATTTTAAAAAAGTCATTTAGATAGAAGAGAGATTTTAATGGTATTTCCCCACTCACAGATAATATTAAGATTACAAGCGCCCTGGAAGAGAGGCCTCCTCTCTGCTTAGCATCAGATGTAACAGGACCCTGATCTGTATGATTGGCAAAGGTGTTACGACAATATAATAAATACAATACATGCTACCCCTGCAATTTATGGCAGTGCTCACCAATAGAGTCAAGCAGTCCTGCCTTGGCTCACAGCAAGTAGGCCGGAGGAGATGAAATAATTCTTTTCCATAGAATACAAAGGAAGGGAAAGGATAAGTCTAGGGATGGATATAATACAGGCTTTCGTCTTCAAGCTGCAAGTTCAAAGCCCACCCTACTTTGGTAGTGAGTGAATGCTGACACTTCTATGTTACATTCCTTATTGACCGTAGTCCAGTTCCCAGGGGACAGTTCCCGCACTTGGGAAAGTACACTGCAGTTAATGCCCTTACTAACAACCAGAACTGAGAGGCCCAGCAGGCAAGGAGGATGAAGATTGAAGACCATCTTTCAGGCTAAAATGTTAGAAATACGTGAAGATTCCCATTGGCTGAAATTTTAGGTAAGCAAAATGAGAAGTCATTTAAGGGCCCGATGTCCAGAGGGTGGATGCTCAACACTTTCTCAAAAATCAAGGCCGTTTTAACTCTCTCAAAGGGAAGTTTGCTTCACTGCTTTCCATGTTGTACTTGTCCAGGGCACTTATTTATACCAACTTGGTGCCTAAAGTTTGACTCTCCAATCCATTTTGAGGCACCTAAGTAGATGCTTCATGCCTACATTTAAGTAACTAAAGTCTATATTTAGATGCCTAAATAGAAGTTTCTATTTAAGTCCCTAAGTGTGCATTTAGAAATCTAACATTAGATTCTCTGGTTTCAAGATTTTGACAGAGGCATCTGGGATCTCAGTCTCATGCTTTAAAGTTGCACTAGAACAGGATATATATTTTTTAAAAATAACTTCAGACAGAAATGTCTGAAGGTACTAAACTGTGTTTTGATTCAACCTGACCTGATTTTCCTCCTCTAATTTTTTGGTTCAAATACTGGGCCCAAACCATCCATCCTTTGCTCAACTCTAATTCATGCACAACCTAATAAAGAAAACAAAGAAGTTAATGGATAAACTAATTTCTTCAATAGAGAGATTAAAGCAGTAAATTTCTAATCTCGGATGCCCAAGAGATGAGGATGCAGTTTAGATCACCCAGTTGTCACTGGTGCAATTAAAAAAAAAATTAAACACTACAGACTGCTCACTTAATGTTTTATTTCCCCTATATAAACATATTAAAACAATACAGTATGCCCTGCTTTCTATTCTCACACTGTGGATAGCTGTCCTCCTTGCTTACAAACAATTAACTGAACTGTGCTGCCAATATATCATTTGTCACTTTGGAAATTGCACTGGGATATGGAGTGTGTTGAATGGAAGCAATTCTGGTCATCATGTATAAGTAGAGAAACACTGGAACAGAAGCTAGTGCAAGAGGGAAAGAAAGGATCAGAGATATCCACTGCTCAGAATAAAATGGTTAGTAACCAGGTGGTTTTTACACTTTTGAACCCATTGCTGGAGTTCATCTGGGGAGAAACCCAGTCTCTTTACCTTTCCTTTCAACAACTCCTCTCTTGCCCTCTTCAGCCAGTGCACAGGAAGCAAAAAAAGTCCTGCAATACAAATTGGGACTTCCAACTACTTTGAATGGCAGGGGGACCCATTTCACTGCACATGATGTATCCCTCAACAAAGGACAGGTATGATTAATGCAGATGATATACAATGTTCCTAAAGCATGTCTTTGGATTAAAACTATCCACAAGAAGACCCTGAGCCTGCCTTTTCTAACACCTGATGTTTAGAATTCAGTACCTAAATTCATACTGAAATGGTAGTATTTCAACTGGACTGCTCATCTGAGTCCCAAGCTGCTCATATGTTTAAATATTCATTCCTTTTAAAATGTTTTCCTGGATGAGGGCTTTAGATACCTCACTTGCTGGCCTGATTTTCAGGAGAAATTAGTACCCCCAGAGCCCATTCCCAACTCTTAGATCTTTGTACACGTGAAACTTCATTGTTTTTCACCTACTCAGAAGAAGGTACTAGGTATATATTAGTGCTAGATGGAAAAAGCTAAAGTTACAAAGTCAGTGTTTGAGTTGGTGGCTCAAAATGTGGCCTTTCTTCATTCCTCTTTGAACTTGACCGTTTTGCATCAGAAAAGCCTTAAGTCCTGATACTCAAAACTTTTGAGCCGAGACCTTCAGGAAGTGCTACCTATACTTCACAGATACCTTACAGGATCGGGCCATTTTTTGATCAGCTTTCTGCACAAATAAAATGTGAAGCTAATCTAAAGAGTATGTGAAGGATGACAGATAGCAAAAGGTTCAAAAGGTGTTTGGAGATGGAGAATGGTTCAGCTTGCTGCAGAGACTGAGACCAGGTATAAAGTATGAATCTAGATTTGAGTTCTCCAAAAGTTTGTTTGGAAGTGTGTCTATCTTGGGTTTTGAACTCAGGCATATACTTATTATTAGCTCTTGGACTAATAGAGTTAAGTTTCACAGTGGCATTTGGAAGTGGCAACATCATCATATCCCAAGAAACAGCTTAACAGGCAGCCTTCTTAGTTACGGTGAATTAAAGGCTCCCAGGAAACTGCAAATAATATCAGCATCGATGGATGATCACAGTTTCATGAGTAATTTTGATATCTGAACAGATGGCACCTGTGTTCTTCTGACCTTCTTAAGAATTACCAGCTATTTTCATGTAGTTGCCCTTTTCCTGTCCTGTCTTTTTCTCTCTCTCTCTGTTTTCCTCTTGACTGGAAAGGCAGCCAGACTTGGCCATGTCTGTGGGAGAAAGTGATAGGACCTGTGCAACAGAACTGTGCCAAGGAGTTGGGTAACACATGTGAGACTAGAATAAAAACCTTTTCGTTTTGAACTGCTTTTTAAACAAACAAGTTTAAATGTTGAAAAATTGATTTGTCCATGTTCTACTTGGATTTCCCCCAAAACGTCCCCTTATATCTGCTAGCAATCATGAAGTTTCAAGGTCAGTGATTCTCAACCAGGTGCCATGGTATCCTGGAGTTCCTTGAGATCCTTTCAAGGGTGCCATGCAGTGTTAGCACAGTTGGGTGTGCAAACAAGATTCAAAAGATAAACTGGAGATTTCAAGTAGGAATCCAGTGTGTTAAATACATTGGGAGCTGTTGTGGCCTTTGAGTTCTTTGCAAGAGAAGAACCGCTCTATTACTCTTCTGTTGTGAAAACTAACAGTTGGCATTTTCTGTAGGGTGCCTTGCATCTCAAAAAGTAGAGACCGGCTCTTTTAAAGGTAAGTCTATAATCAGAGATTTAGTTGAGATGGGAAAAGGAGTTTGTCAGGATTTAAGTAGGCTTTATTCACCGTATGTTGCAAATGTATGCGTATATATGTAACTAGCAAGACAGAGATGGAAACAGAGGTAAATCCTCTCATGCTGGATGTATTTATGTATGGACTGTTCAGTTTAGCCAAGGGTGATCAACTGACACTGCAACTCATTTTCTGTATTTTATTTAGCAAGCTCAGTTCTAGAGGATGAAGAAAGTACAACAACGGATTTCAAAGACAGGAACGACACATGGTACGATGAAGTGCCAACTCTGGTGAGTGTCACTAAACCAAGGCTCTCCAGTTCAGTGTGATACTGCATTCCCTATGTTGTCTTTTGACCTGTCAATATGGTTTTAACCATTAAAATTACATAGCAGTAAGTCATGACTTGAGTTGCAGAAAAAAAAAAAAAGCTGACCAAATGCCAGGGGTTTTGCTTTGCAAAAAGCTGGAAGTATTTGTGACAGTTGCTGAATTGCGCAAAATATTCTCAGCCTGCCTCTGCACTGCCGTGCAGTAGTTCTGTCTTGGTGTGTTTCCACTGGCTTTAGTGAAGATGAGCAAATGTCAAACTGATGTAACACACCAGACAAACTGATCTGCAAACTTCTAGAAGATTGGTAAATTTGGCGTTCCCTGTCTCTGTGCTGATGTTTTGAAATTTTGCTGCTAGGGATTGCTGTAGAAAGCAGTTATAAAATTGCTTTTTCCTTATGACAAAAGTTCACACAGTGACAGTAAGCAAAAATGCAATTTGATGTTTACTTTACAAATTGATGAAGCAGCATATTGTGCTCTTAAATGGAAACTTCCCTGGGAGCATCCTAAAACCCAGGCCTCCCGATGCAGATGTAGCTTATGATGAATCCACATGCATTCACAGTGGAAATCCAGAGAGTTCGCTAGAGGGTTCTCTCCTTTTATTACTAACCTGTTCCTCCCACTCTCTCTCACACACCTGTTTTGTAAAATATTGGGCTTGATTCTCAGCTGCTCTTGAATTAGAGGTAAAAATACCTGGTTGTGGCTCTCTGGTCATATGCCTCTGGGAGCTCCTGGGCTAAGTACAGACAGTAAAAAAGCCTGAGGCTGAATTGATTCAATCTTCCCAAATTAATCTAAGCTGCGTAGATTGAAGAAAGTGAACAGACATTCACTTGTGATTCTGGAAATTCAGCCACATGCCTGCAGTAGCCCAGGCCAGAAGCTGGGGGGCGCTAGAGCACGCCTCCTTGCTCAGCTGAAGCAGACAGCTTGAATCTGCAGGGGATCTGGTGCAGATGTTCAATAAAACAATTTAACCTAAATCAAGTTAAGCCTGATACTACGTCCATCCAGGTATAACTTAAACTGGTTTTGGTCATTTTCGGTCATAAACCACAAACCAAGACAGCAAATTGATTTATGTGCACTGAACTTCTCTTGTGTTACAGATTTAAATCAACTTCCAATCATTTATACTGATTTATGTGTAATGTCTGTCCCTAACTCTGAAGTCCAGTATGATCCTACTCCATCCCCATCAAACCTTGTACCTAGGAGGGAATACCTCACTTTCTATACCCCCACCAGACTCCCCTTCTCTGGGTTATTTATACAAAATAGCCATTCACTCCTTCTGTACTGTAAAAGCAATATAAAGCAGGCTGAAGAAGCTGCCCACTGGCACTTATGAGGGTGAGGAGATCAACATTTGTATGTTATAAATAAAATGGAAAGTGGGTCTTACTTTGCCTCTCCTTTCTTTCTTTTCTCTCCAACATTCCTGCCTTGCAGTTGCCTACAAGCCTGCACAATATAACAGACATTCCCCAATTAGAAGACCTGATGACCACAGAAAGTGCAATCGCCACATATGAAGACGGCGAAAACTCTACTGATCCTGACGTTACTCTTGAACATGCTGACGGTAGAAATCTTTATTTGCTACTTTTTGTTTCAACAGACTCTAAGTTTCTCTCACTAGGATGTTCCCAACACTCACTCAATAGTCTTTTGAAAAAGTCCCCTACAGAATTTGACGTCCTCTCAAAATCAGGATTACATCAAAAGGAACCTGCAGCTTTTGTGATGCATTCCTGAAGAGTCACTTAACATCCTAAATTAGTAACCAAGTGCATGCACTACAAGGGGAATTCATAGATTTGTTGTTACATCACCAGCACTTCCCAGTTCAAATCCCGTTCAGACCAACAGTGATTGAAGTCAGCTGACAAGTGTGAAGTCACACCGCATAAACCATCCTCAAAAAACTCATTCTTTTGTTCAGACACAAAGAGTCTGAGGTACAGAAGACATAAGTATAATAGCCTAAGTATGCTCAGGTGTTATACCAGGGATGTATTTGGTAGCCGTGTCGGTCTGAGACAAAAAGAAATGCAAAACTTAAAACTCTTGGCTCCGAGATGATTGTGAGCCCGAAAGCTTCCAAAGCAAGATATTTTTTTTTGCAATTTTTTAGTTGGTCTAATAAAAGGTATCATCTCTGAACCAAGGGTTTTAGGGGTCTGCATTTCTTCTGGTTTTACCCGGGCATGTCTTCTTTGACTTCTGTGGAGTCATGCATGATTTATTGTGGTGTGAAACAAACAAAAAATTACATCCATTGTCTTTGAATTGTAACAAAATTTTCATACACCATCAGATGAAAATCCAGGAGAAGAAATGCTTCCATATGTGCACCAGTATACTGCAAGGGAATAATGGACAACCCCAGCCTGTGCTACAGCAACCCAGTCTGTTAACAATACACAGAGTTGAATATAACTTATATTAAAATAGTTAGAAGAGCAACCTAAATATGGCACCGTGGGTTCTGCATGTACCCTTTCTCAGTGCCTTCCTAAACTGGATATGCTCCATTAACAAGATAGAACAAGGTTTAAGTGTGAGTCCTGAAAATTTAGGCTCATATCCAAATAACTGAGCAGTGTTCGCCTTCCCATAGCAAACAGCCATCACCAACAAGGGATTCTGGTTAAGTTAAAAGACACACAAGGCAAAGCAAAGCACAGCTATCAATTCTCCAACTGTAAATGCCAAAATCAAGTATAGGCAAGCCCACCAAGTAGATATAAGCCAGGTAGAGATACAACATTTGTGGGCAGCAGGAGAGAGTTGATTTTAGGGAGGCATTGTGCAGACTTTACATCTGCAGCTGTGAGAAATGTTTGCAAGGAAACTGCATGAAACTCATCTGGTTTTGAATTTCATTGCAAGCTCAAAATTCAGACCACAGGCTATTAAAGCATTCACTTCGGTGCATGAACCAGTCATGGTTGAGCTGGATGCATTCAAGAGAGTTTCCATGAAATCCCCTGAATCCAATGGGTCTCTCCTGGAGCTTTGCTTTGACATGATTTGTTTCAGAAGTTAGGAGCAGATCCTGGGCAGCCCATAGATTTGCAAAGCCCTGCAGTGCCAGCCTCTTGAATGGGCTAGATTTGGGCTCCACTTTCCTAGTTAATCCCTACTCCATTTCCCCCTATCTCACACAAGCAACCCTTGCTGCTGCAGATGATGGACCTGTCTAGATGCTGGAATCGGATGTCTTTATTGGTATATTTTAAAAAGGACAAGGTTTGACTAAAGTTCTCTCTTTTTTGTTGCTGGCGTCTCCCTCCCTCTCCCCACTTCTGAATTTTGTAGCAGTTTCATACCCATGGTCAAAAGATCAAACATATTTGTAGTTAAAAATGTATGTTCCACCTTCTTTTCCAAGTCCCTTTCTATGGAGAGTCAGGGCATCTCTTGACTTGGTTCATTATTTAATAATAGAAGTAGTGGTTATCAGACCTGAATTTGATAGGGTTGCAGACTTGCTTTCTAAAGAATACGTGAAAGACATAAAGAAAGTAGCAGCACGCGGGTTCCATCTATATCTGATTGGTAGCAAGTTAAGGGGTCAACAATACCAATGAAAGAACATTTTAAAAAAATGATTCACTAGAAGTTTTCCTACATATGAGATCTCTTGTTTCCAATCTGCTAGTCCAGTGTTGGACCTTTCTACAGTAGAGACAGCCACACAAATGGAAGGAAACAAAATGGGAGGAGAGGGGGAGAGTGGGTGTGGGGACATAGGCACATATCTGCCTATGTCCTTAGACCAACATGGCTACAACCAACACCCCCAAGCGCGTATCTGGCATTCAACTGTCCCGCATGGCCCATGCAGATTCCTATTTGCACACACTGTCATTGCAAGGTGACATTCAGTTTTTGACTTTTAAAAACATATACAAACTCTTTTCAATTGCCAGTAGAGGGAAAAGATATCAGACAAGTATTGGGGCAGGGGCAGATATTATATTCACGGCTATGTACTTTGCTAAACAAAGCACATCTGTCATAGGCATTAGCTTAGGTCTGAACTTGTCTTACAGCAAGCGTGTGTCTTTCAGTCTTCAAAACAGAAGATCTTTCACAACAGCAACCAGTCTCTCTTTCTCAATAATAGGACACTTTGCCAAGTAACGCTCTCTAGAGAACAGCTAGTCTAGGAACTTGAAGTGCTTCCCAGGATTGTATCACACCCCCAGCAAGGGGGTTACTGTAAATCCCATTTTACAGGAGGAAAAACTGACAGACCGAGGATCTAAGCGGCTTGTCCAAAGGCACATAGGAAACTTCCTTTGACAGCCACGACTAGAACCCAGATCTTCCACATTCCCAGCCTTAACCAGAGAGCCATCCTTCCTCTTTAAAGCAGTCATCACCTTTCAGGCAAATCTCCTCAGTCGTCTAAAAGAATTTTTCCCTAACGTAGGAAAAGCATGTAACACACAGGGAGGTATTTTTGCATCAAAGGCAGCCTCAGAGCCACAAACTGCCATGCAATGCCTAGACACTGGGTTAGTGTGGGGCAATGCTGCATCTCTGGCTTCCTTAGCCGATGAAGCAGCCTTTTAGCTTTTTCTTCATCGACTGCCTAGTAAGGAGGAATAGTGTTCCCCATTCTTCTTCCTTTCACTCTCTGTGGAGCACAAAAGGTTTCCATTTCTTAGAAGTTGAGAGAGGTTAAGTCGGGTTTACTTTTCCCTTGCTGCTGGAAACTAGAGCCATTTTTTCCCTCTGCCTTCTCTCCTCATCACCCTCCTTTCCCGGCCAAAGCCGGAAAGGCTGGATAGGTCCTGAGACTTCGATAAGCTTTCCCCATGATGCTTCATCTACATTGGGTGTCACAGGAATTGTTCTTGGAATCAACATCCTAAAGACTTATGACAAATGGGCTCTGAACAGGTATAAATAGGCTACCGATTTCCACAATTTTTTTTTATCAGTACCTGAATATGAAGGCCCAGAAAAATAATTAAATACTCACGACTTGCATGTAACAAAAAATTATTTCTCTCTTTTCAACATTTTCAAACATTATAAAAGAGTCAGCTAAACCACGACTGCCTGGTTTTGGCAAAGGAACAAAAATATCTTCCTACTCCTCTTACTTTTTTTTTTAAAACAGCAAAGCCATCTTAAAAAAAAAAAAAAATCCTGAAAACACTGGCATTGTATAACTACACATCCAGTGTTGAACCATCAGATTGCAAGAAATGACAGGCTGTCCTACGTGAATTTAAAGCTCCTGGCACTGCGGAGTGCAGTTGCTGTGACAAATCTGCTCGGATGAGAGGAGCTCCAAAACAAACCTGCCTTCCTGTTTGGTTAGGCATAAGCCTATAGCAGGCTCAAAAGCAAATATAATAAAAATTAATGTCTCTGAGCTGGAGCCTTGAACAAATCATTCCACGTTAACTGACACTGTTAAGCATACAAGTTAGTGAAGAAAATAATAAACCCAAAGGAACTACACTAATGCCAGTATTCAGAGCCACCATATACTTACCCCAGCTGTTTGTCATCTCAATTGTACTTGGCAGATGTAGTTATTCATTACATATGGCGGTGAAGTATGTGGTAGTATTTATCTCATCCACATGCACATATACCATGTTCAAAGAATATTAAGATTTCAAAAAAATCAAGCACTCAGGAGGCAGAAAATGCCAGAATGAAGGTTGCCCATGGAACCTGAATTTTTTCCTTCTGGGGCATACGCATCATAGCGCAGTTAACGATTCCTGATTGATGGGGGGGTTTTGTATATTTTTAGAGATAATAGTTATCCACCTTTTAATCTATTTTTAAAAAGCATATTGTTGGCTGCTAATGTTTTTATTCAAAAAGTTATGCGGTACTAAGTTAAATAATTTACAAAAATCTACTATTTTACAAAATTACTAAACCAAATGTATAATTCTAACCAAATCAGATCATATTCCCTTTTTGCTAATTATTTAATTCTATGTCAATTTAATCCTGTATCATCTTTTTCCTTATTTTGCTTGGAATTACCATCAGGTTACCTACTCCATAATTACCTAGATCATTCTGTTTGGCCTTTTAAAATATAGGACAATATACACACTCTTTCACTCTTGTGGATTTTTTCCTGAGTTCCAACATTTCTTTAAAAACCTCAACAGGCCATCGTCTCGGCCAACTCTTTTAGAACTCTTGGAGTCTACTTGTCTGGCTAAATTATTTTAAAAAATTGATTTTGGATTTCTAGCATCCTCCTTAGTTCTTAGGGAACAGAAAGTACTTCATCATCCGCACTGGATGCAACTACATCATCCTATTTTTTTTTAACCAAATACAGGCCTTTAATATGGAATGACCTCAACCTTCCTTTTTCTGTCATTATTAACTTTTACCATTCCTACCTAGCCGTTAGCCATTACTAATGTTTAGATTTCTTTTATTCCTACTATGGTTACAAATTCCATCTTGCAAGAGTGATTCATAAAACTTAAAATTTAATCAGCATATCACCTGTCTAAAGTGAGAATGTTTTATTACTCTCTTTTTAAAGCAGCATGGAGAAAATAAAGCAGTGGTTTTCAACCATGTTAGACCCAGGGCGCCTCATGGAAAATGCCAGCTCTTAGCTTTCTCTCATTTTTGGACAAGAGAAAAGTAATAGAGCAATTTTTCTGTTGCAATGAAGACCACAACAGGTCAGAATGTCTTTAAACCTATGGATTCCTAATTGAAATCTCTTGGGTTACTTTGTGAATCACATTTTCACACCTAACAGTGCTAACATTGCATGTCACCCTTGAAAGGATCTCAAGGCACCAGGCTGGGAATCACTGAATTACATTTGTATGTCTAATATGCAGTGTCCAGGGCCAGATCTTTTCAGGGTACTTAGCATGACAGTCCATCAAAGCATAGTTTCCCCCTTCAGGTGCAGTTCAGTTCAGTTCTCTGCAAATCAGACTCCAGAATGTGAAGTTGAGCACCCCGAACATGAAGATGACCACAAAGATTGGTTTAAATCTGCAGCAAGGGCAAGGAAAGAATCCTTACCTCACATTTGATGTGACCCACCTCCAAAAACCCAGCCTTTCCTATGGGACGTGTCCACCCTGGGTTTGAGAAACACCCTCTCCAATGAGGCAGAAAGGGTCTGAAATAAAGAAAATGTTTTCAAATATATATAAATATATATATATTTGGGGGTCGGACTCGATGACCTACCGAGGTCCTTTCCGACCATAACATCTATGAATCTATAAAACAGCAGCTACATCAAAGGCTAAATGGGAAGCTTTTAAGCAGTCATAATAAAGATGATAGCACAGAGAATTAAGGCAATCTAATTTACAGTTGTTTTATATCAGTGGAGCACTATTCGTCTTAATGGGGTTACTCCTAATTTATACCTGTCTAAACAAGATTAGGATTAATCCATTAGAGTTAATTTTGTCTTTAGGCCAGTTTATGATGTGTGGCCCATTTGCCATTTCTTTCACGCAATGCTGTTCATTACCACTTGGCAGTGGATTCGTTTTGAGACAACCGCACTGTTGCTTTGGTAACCTACCGTACGATAGGACAACAAATCAGGAATCGCAGCACAAGAGTCAGTGCATTCAAGGAGTTATTCTGCTTCTGTCTTTACAGATGAACTGGGTGAAGAGCCAGAGACAACAGCGGAAGAAGGTATAAAGGCAAAGAGTTAATTATAAAGAAAAGAGGTGTACTGAAATCCTAGATGAGATATATCTACAACCTGCTTTTCAAAGACAAGCAGGATTTGGATCAGAAGTAAAATGACAGGACTCTTTTTGTCTTCAATGGGTTTTCAATCAGGCCCCATAAACATCAACAGAGAATCCTTGATCCTAAGCAACTTTTCTTAAAGTTTGGAGAAGATTTAAGTTCAAAGGATCTCACAGCGTCTCAGGGAGCCCCGGGCCATGGGTTGAGAATCACTGCATGTTTCCAGCCAGCCTGACTTTTGGGTCAGGTCAAGTCTGGGGGATGGTGAAGCACTGGAACAGGTTACCCAGAGAGGTGGTGCAATCTCCATTCTTGGAGGTTTTTAAAACCTGGCTTGACAAAGCCCTGGCTGGGATGACGTAGTTGGGGCTGGTCCTGCTTTGAGCTGGGGGTTGCACTAGATATGACCTCCGGAGGTCCCTTCCAACCCTCATTTTCTATGATTCTGATTCTTAAGATGGGGATGTGGCAAAAATTTGTGATGCATTATAAAGTGTTAGGACTTTATGCCATCAATCTCCACTCTTGCAAAATGGTAAACATGCTAATACACTGTACCTTTTCTCTCTCAGATGGCCTGGGAACAGCTGCACTAGTTGGAATCATAATTGGCATCATAGTAGCAGTTGGAATCATTGCTGGAATCATTATTGCTGTTGTGAGGAAAATGTCGGGCAGGTACTCGTAAGTAAAATACTACAAGCCGAGCTGTGTGGCTAGATGCTGTTGTACCTCCAGTTGTGCTTCTACCAACAATGGACAGACTCCATAAAGGGCTGAATTCAGCATCTAATAGTCTTTCCATTGCTTTCAGTTGACTCATGCAGGTTGGTTGTTTATAGGGAGTGAACCTAATGAGTCAAATAATTTATTTGATCTCTTGGGGAGTCTAGAAAACATACAGGAAGTCAGGCATAGGATTTTTAACATTTCCATTTTTGGACACAGCCAGACACATATTGGGTATGCCCATTATCGTGATATCTAGTGCATAATGCATGTGACGCGGGGGGAAAGAATACCCAAACATTATCGAAGTTTGATCAGCCTTCTATCCCAAACATCAAATAGCTCCTTTCATTTACTGGTGTGGTTGAGGCTGTGGGACATCGGTTCCTTCCCTGCTGCTGCCCAGCTGAGCTCATCCCTTGCTAGATTTAAGGCATCCCTTGAAAAATGACAGCTCTTTTCCTGACTACAGAAACATAACAGAGCAATTCTTCTGTTGTAAAGAACTCGGAAAGAGTGCCGGAGGTCAGAACACCTTTGACATTAGGGATTCCTATTTGACATCTCTGGGCTAATCTTGCGAATCATGGGTAGGTGCTTGCGCACTTAATGATGCTAATATTAGTACTTCATCCTTAAAAGGATCTCACAGCATCCCAGGGGGTGGCAATCACAGCTTGTTTCCAGCCAGCCTGACTTTTGGGTCAGGTCAAGCTGTTGCCGGCCTCCTCCACTTAGTGGCCAGATACTGTAATAAACAGTGTAATGCCTGCTACTGTGGGATAAGTTAGTCATAGGGGCTCATTATACATGAGCTTGAGGTGGCTCCTGGAGCTCTTAACCCCTGGATTGTCCGCACATTAACACCTGAAACTAGTTTTAAGCACACTTTAGGCAGCTTAAAGTTACATCACTACAGGACAGGTTTATTTCTGATCTGTGTTATTGAGTTCATGTTCCATGAATGTGTGGCCACTCCCCACATACAAGCCACTCAAGTTGCAGTCCTCCAGCATCCCAGGAGGCAGTGCCCCCTTCCCCACCCTTCTCTTCTGGGTGGATAAACTTTCCACTCCCTAAACTCTACTGTCCAGGGGCCAATTCTGGCACTAAGCTAACTCCCCCTCCCACCCCAGGGATGCAACCTCATGCAAACAGGCTGAAGAGCACACACCAGCTAGCCAGGTCACAGATGGGTCCAGGAGTAAGGTGTGGGAGGGATGAGGAGGGTATAAGATAGGGGTTCAATCAGGTCCCCATGTGCTGGGGATTCCTTCCTGGGGCAGGGGCAGCAGCTCCCCCAAAAGTGCCTTCCCTTAATGTTCCCAACTTCCAGCCACTTGGGGAAGCACAACCAGCACCCCCCAACACCCCAGTCCCAATTTATAGAAATGTGAGGCCTTCTTTAATTCATTTCCGCTTTATTTCTGTTTAATTTTTTTAATTTGTTTTATTTTATCCTTCAGTGCCTGACTTCATTTCACCACCCTTCCCCCACTCCCATTTCCTTTCTACCTCCCATTTCATTACCCATCCTCATCCCATGAACTCTCTACCTCCCAGCTTCATGTGTCTGCCCCACCAACCCATCCCTCACTCCCTACCCCCACTTAGAGTAGGGACAGACAGATGTCCTAATTCACTAGCCCTGTAGTCCTGCCACTAGACAGGCCTCTGGTGGCAAATCACAGCTGTGCAGGTAGAGGACAGTCAGAGAAGGTGTCTAGATTAAGGGTGTGACTGCTCCAAACTCAAGCTAGCACTAACACTGATGATCAGCATTTAAGCAGCTTAAAGTGCAAGATGTAATAAGGCCCATGGACACGTTTAAGCAGCTCAAAGTGCAAGGTGTAACAGGGCCCATGGACACATGTCATGTTTGTACTGATGTATGTACTCTTAGGTGCCTGGATACTGCATGAATACTTCATAGGTCATAAAAATGTTCATTGTTCACTTCTAATTTTCTTGAAATTAATTCTAGCACTGACAAAATTTGCAGACAACAGCACTACACTATAATGCTTTCCAAACCAAAAGGAGATAAAATGTATTTAGTATTGTAGTTGACAGATACTATTCACCAACTTGACCAGATGTATAACCAAAGTAATCTGCATTGGTGATAACCAGAAACTGAAAAAAGGAAAATACAAATTGGAAAAAGAGAGAGAGGAGAAGTGACAGAGGAAAAAGGAGGAAGGAAGGGGAGAGCAGTGACAAACAACTACATAGATTTAACTGACTCAGGTTAAATGTCTGCCTTTTTTTCCTTTTGTTTTGACAGGCCCTAAAAATAATTGAAGAAATAGTGCCCCTTGTTATGCCAGAAGAGAAAATTGCTTCCTATTTTACAAACTACTAGAAAACTGTTCCCATAACCGTGTGAGAAGATGATCCATGGAAAGAGTGAATGAAGAATTCAAGTTCTATGGGGATACCACACAGCTTTCTGGAGGAACATTTTACAGACATGACAAAAATTGAACAGTTTATAGGACTCTGCTGAAGTATTTTAGAGGAATAAAATATAGAAAAAGAATATGCAGTAGGAGAAAAGAGAAGGGGAAAAAAGGACAATCTAAAATGTGGTTTTCAGGTAGTAAAAATACTATGCTAGCTAGATGTTAAAACAATGGCAGGAAAAAAAATATTTCACATTGCATTCTATCCTTTTCTTGAAAAAAATTTATCCAGATTTTTTTTTTTTCATTCTAAGCCCAATGACTAGTCAGGGAGCCTGCTGTATTCTTCAGTGTTACAGAGGTTTAAAATTCCCGGTGTCTGGGTATGTTCATCTACCAAATCTGTACTGTTTAGCAGGAAACATCATCCTGATAATCAGGAATGCGGTTAAGAGTTGGAAAACACATTTGTGGCCTGGGAACTTCAACCATTCTGCTGAGACAAGACCTGTGAACCATTATACAGTCAGGCATGGTAGACCCAGCTGGAACTGGACCTACCAATGAAAAATTGCTCCTTCCTCTGACTGATCAGCAAAGAACGACCAGTCTTCTCTGTTGCAGAGATATGCAGAGACTGGAATACACATCCTAAATTAAAGGGTGCTTAGAATATACCCACTTTTGATGGGTCACTTTAACCTATTACTCAGCATGTTTTGGATCCAGTATGTAGAAGCTTCCACAATTGGTATATGCTATATATATATATATATATATA